AGGAGTGCTCAGACCAGTCCAAATCTCTAAGTATCCTACCGCAATGTAGTCTCATAATTTTATTATGTCTTTGCTATAAAACACCATGGTAAAAGCAGAGAGGGAATTTTTTGGATTGTTAACAGCCCTATCATTGCCTGAACTTGCTGGCATTGACTCTATTACTTCAAACCTACCCAAACCAGCCTTAGAGGGCAATGCAACCACTCAACCTTATACCTATGAAGTACAGGGAATAAGAAAAATAGGACTAAATGTATATAAATTTTAACTGATTAGGTTCATGAGTCTGTAAACCAAAGGGTTCACGACCTACTCACCAGATGATGGAGGCGTCGATTTTCTGGAACTAGGAACAATGTCACCCAAACTGGATGAAGAGTTTCCTCCTGATTTACTGGAGTAAAGCAACAAATTAGTCTGATGTTTCATAGCTTTCTCAGTATTTATTCTAGTTGATTTATTACCTGTCTTCTAAATGAGCTGCTAGCAGAGAGACAAATGGTATTTCTGGCAGTGGTATAAAATATACATCTTACACGAAACGTGTGTACATTTTGAGGACTGAGGAACTGCAAACATCGATCACGCTCCTTGTTCTGATGTGCAGCTTCATTCTGCTGCATATGCTCTCACTACCTCATGATCTTCATGCGCTCCAATTATTAATATGGCTACTGATATATAATTATTAATATTACTACTTATTACTAAGATTAATTCTTAAGCCAGTGAGCACATCTGTTTCTTTTAACAGAAGAGTTATTGATAGCTCCCTAGTGAAACTGATAGTGTCTTTGCCTAACGTCTTTTCAATTCAATTAAAGTACAAATTCTTTTGCTGTCTCAATACCAGGTAGCACTTAGGAAAAAAAAGTCTGTCAAACAAAGATAAAGCAGCCTAAGGTTTTGTCAAGTCCTGCTTTGTGAAAACCTATCCAAGTTGTGAAAATGAAACAGTATTTTTAGTCATTTTATTGCAGTTACCATAATGAGAAAAGCACTGAAAAGAATTTAAGAAAGGCTATTTCACTCTTCAAATAATTCATGTGATAGTACTAGTTTCCAGTTTCTCCATCTTCAAATATTAATAAGCACTAAATAAATGCATTTGTGGCATAGGACAGTGTTATCTCCAGTGAGAAGTTCTGGAGACTGGAAGCCTTCACAGTTTGGAAAGGGACGGAATCACTGGGTCAGATTTGGTTGTACCAGAAGCGTCACGAGAGGAATAAGGAACCTGACGTCCTCCTGCTGAGGACAGCACACTCATAGGAAAGGCATTTCACAGCTGGCGAATGCGGCTGAGCACTGCAGCATCCTGGTCTCCTCTTAGCATAGACACGCTCTTCAAACCCTGTTGCCCTTGCTATTGAAGTAGGAAAGCCTTTCCGGCTTCCCAAATGTTTCCCAGATGTTTTCTCAATTCCAGCTCCATCCCACTCAGACATACTGGAAATGTTTCCTATATACCCAAAGGGAAGCAAGTGGCATTTGCTTCCACATGTGTTAATGTTTACTGGAAAACAACTTTATTAAGAATTCTACAGTAAAGATGACATCATTACCATCTCGTAGTATTGTTCAGTACATTTAGATACTGAATCTTTATTTTTATGTAATGATGGCTGCAGTCAGAGACAACAAATGACTTGACGTGAAACTTCCATCGTAAAATGCAGTATTCTTAAAAGCTGTATTTGTAGGCAATGAATTTGACAAGACCAAAACATTTTTTCCCTAAGAGCTAACTATCAGGCACTGGCTTCAGCTTACAAATAAATCCATCTTAACATTTTCTGTAAGTTCTCAAAATCAGCTTTAAAAGTGTTTAGAAATTGTAAGATCATGAAAACAAGTAACAAATGTTAAAGAATTTAGGGAGATCAATTTTTAAGTCAAAAATTGTGCTTGCACATAGTAAATGTACTAACTGCAATGTATATTTGCAAATATTTTATAAAAATAAAATGGAATAATAGCCATTGTAGACCACCACAGACCACCAATCTAAATATCTACTTTCTCTCTCAAATGGCAATGACATTAATTATGTAAATAAGTATTGCTTCCTTCATTGATTCAGAATGTTTGTAGCTGCCAATTACAATAATTAAACAGAACTATAGCATACACAGCATTAACTTCCAAGTTGTGTGACAGTCATGCTACTATTTTTAATGATTTGTTGTTATTACCTGGAGTAGAATTTTCCTTGTTTTGCCTTTTGTTCATGCTGCAGCCTCATGTTTTCTAGTTTGACTGGGCTTGGTATGAATCCTATTTCACAGCCTTCTTTTACCAACCGTCCTATCCACCAGTCATTATTAAATTTCTACAGATTAAACAAAAAAAAAAGGTCATGTACTAAGAAATTACTGTATTTGGGATCATTTTGTTATTATTTTTAATTTGCAGCTAAGCCATTTTATGTAATTCTTCCCTGCAGTTAATCACTGTACTATGTTATTATGGCAATGAAGAATTGTGGTAATATTCAGAAATACATTAAAATAATTATACCTTGCAAATTATTAAAATGCTATAGTACTTAAGCAGAAACCTTCCTTCATAGACTGCATGATTCTCCCTGGCTGTTATTTCCACCCATTTCACCATCTTTATTTTTTTCTGCTTCACAGTCTTTTCTGCTCATACATGAGAGCTGCTTTAGTCCTCCCTTGATGTTTCTCCTTGGTGAACATCAGAGATTTCTTCTGACCTGCTCCTACCCACTGCAACAATCTTTACAGCTCTGTAATAATCTATTTTTCTTATTCCATTATATTCAGTTCTCTATTTAAAATAAAAAATACTACTTCTCAAACTCCCCCGCTTCTCTGAACTCACTAAAATCTTCTGAAATATGACTACATTCCACTACTTATATATGCTCTACTGCATACAGCTCATGTGATCTGCATCTTAAACATAGAGTGATAGATTCACAAGGAATGGCTATCTTTGGATAACTAAAAAACCTTACAATTCTACAAATGCACAAGATGGTCCAACTAACTGCATTTCAGCTATATGAAATACGAGATAATTACTACTCTGATGTAATAATATTTATTCATACACACAGAGGAGGTTTTGTTTGCAGAGGTCTGTGGAGCAGAAGTATTTGCTTTTTCCTTTATTATTTATTCACCATTTTTGGATGAGAATAGGTAACTTATGTATGGCCCTACATGCAATACTCTAGGAGTTCCATGGGGATAACTACCATCAAATATGAATTTTGGATAATTTGGATTATTTATGAGAATGTAAGAGAACATCTGAATGGAAAGAGAAGTTGCCTTCTTGAATCTGAAGCTATGAATGTAGATATTATAGCGCATGTTTAATTATTTAATAAGTAGTTTTAACAAGTATACAGTTAGGAGTACAACATGTAATATGTGTGGGCTCCCATAAAAAGGAATTAATTTCACCGAGAATACAACGTTGGTGGATCAATGATACACAACCTAAATTGCAGTATTATCTTTCATTTTGGCTACTATAGAAATGTTGTGATGCTTGAAACCAACTTTAAGATATAGAGCTAACAAGAAATAAAGATTAAAATAAATGCACTTTTAAGCTCATAAAATATAAGGAGATCTATAACATTGATCCAACGGGATGCCTTTATGAGTAAGAATACCAATATTTAATAGGGAGCTAATCTGGAATAGCAGTTTCTCAAGGCTGTATTAGACTGAAACATGTTATTAAAATCATAACCTTTCATTGCAAAATGCTAACTAAAGATATGCATGTGCATTTAAAATATGTTGCAGGATAATATAGGTGGAGGAAGACTAGAGCAATTGAGCCAATGGAGGTTGCCATTATATGGATCTGCTCTATGGTATACATGAAATCTGCAGAAGTAGTATCATTAACTTGGTAAAAGGAAGAGATAGATACTTAAAAAACACCATTAAATTAAAATATGAACAGCCACTACTTTTTTATACTGTCCTATAGTACGACAGACTACTACGCAACAACATTAATTTTATTCTAATTGATAGAAATGCTAAATCCATAGGAATTTTTTCTTCATACAAAAATAAAAGCATCTGGAATTCACTCCTGCAAAGTCTCAAATCTAAAAGCTGTGTCAGTATATGAAAAGTACGATAAGATACTTTTATAAGTAAACAACACCACACACAATACTTCCTAATTTTAGAAAGCTATAGTGGAAATCTTGGTAGCGAGGTGTCCAGCTCTCAAGGCGCTGGCTGGGGTGAGCGATTCTCTATAATTCACCTGTGCATGGAGTGCCAAGGGAAACACAAATATGAATTAAATGCAAAGCAGAATTATGGCCATGCATTAAAGCCCCAAAAGATTCAGGAGTGACTATGATGCAGTGCATGTTTCTTCATGCAGGAAGGAATCCTTCATCTTTGTATGTACTGAGTTTTAACAAATGTAACCTGATCATGAAAATAAATTCCTCTCATACTCAATCACTGCAGTACTTTTCACCATTGCCCACGTACATTTTGAACTGAGGTGTTTCTTGTTTGAGCCCTCCCAGCAGCACAAATTGGCGAACACTCCTCGCAGACAAGAAGAGGACAGCATCGATCCAATATGGCATTACTATGCAGGCAGAAGTTCAGTCGGAGATTAACTTACATGTCTTTATTTCTAGCAACCAGTGAGGTATAAAATATAAAAGCAACACTGCATTTTATAGTCAAATATGTTTTTTTACTTTTCATCTGCATAAGTAATTACATTTTGGACATTTCAGTTCTCCCAGCATCAACTATAGGGAGCAACAAAATTACTGAAGGAGCAGTATCTGGTGGGATACAGAAGCCTGGAGAGCAAGCAGGGCATGGCCACGGAAGAGGGAGGGGGAGGATGTGGCTATGCAGGGAAGGGCCGCTCCTCGGGGGACCCTCCTGAAGAGGTTCGACCCACCCAGACGCAACAGCCGCTGCCAAACGCAGGACCAGCAAGTCCAAGTCAGACTCCTTGGGGGTCCCTTCCCACCTCTCCATCCCAGCGGTGCACCTGGCCTGGTCCCTTCCACAACCCAGCTCTGGCCTAGCACCACTAGACAGTCAACTTTCCTTAACTGCTTAGGGAGAAAACCAGGTATTTTTAAAGGCAATTAGCACTGAGAGGCTGTTCTATTCCACCTGAAGCTGCAAGAACAACAGCATTTTAATCTGTATTTCCATTCCTCAGCGCTACATGCAGCCACAGACTATAACAACTCAGCTGAGCTAAGTTTCCTTCTAAGGCATTTCTGGAGATCCAGAAAAGTTCAGGAAACTTCTTCCTCATTATCCTCCATGCATGTTTACATCTGAGTCTAAGTTGCACTGTGAGGAAAAAAGGATAAAGTATAACAGAAAATCTGCTAGCACTGTGTTTCTGGTTCATATGGAAACAGGGGAAAGACTTGATCTGAAGTCTGAGACTACCAGCTCATTCAAAATGCAGATGGAATAGATGACCATACAAAATCATTTAATGTCTAACCAAACTGAGCCGTATTTTCCAGGGCTTCCAGACTCACCAGAGAATGCTGATGGTTCTCTATTGCCAGGACTCTGTGCCTGCTCATCTCTACTTTTGTCACAAGACAGAGCAGAGCAATTCTTTTGCACTATCATCAGACAGAAAACATATTTTCTTCACCATATAGAGTTTGACTCCAAATTATCCCTTTTTTTTTTTGGTGTTTCATATATGAGGAAAATTATGATCATTAGTCATCAGTATAACGGCACTAAAAGTCCGTTTCTTGTGTTCCTTAGTCTCTGTCCACCTGTATTTCCACCTGCGTATCAGGAATGTTTCTTGCTTCCACAAAGCGCCTGCACCAGCAGAATCATTATGCATCATCAATCATGACTAGTGAGGGATTTTTCAATACGGTAAAATAGGGCAAAAATATAATTTTAAATGCACGGCTAAGTTGCTCTCATCCTTAAGCTTACTTTCTAGTTCTTCTGCTATAAACTTCCATTTCCAGATGGACCATTTTGTGACAAAACACAATGGAATATGACCAGAAGCTGGGAAATCTCATAAAATGAGGGAATCATTCAGAAGGGAGCAGCGGGCTGCTAAGGAAGGCCTGTATGGGAAAGTTACCGCGTTATTTGCTTTGGACTGTCTTGCAAGGAAAATGAGAGAGAAAGAAGAAGAGTTTAGATTTTTGAAACTGTAAAACTTGAAAATTTTCAAAATGAAACTGCAGGAAATGAAAACCAATGCAGCAAATGCAAAGCGACTTTTTTGACAGGTGCTATGTGCATCTTGAAAGTTATCATGTCAGTTCTTCAGTATGCAACTGTTAACAACAAGATATTGTCTGTGCCAGGGAAGTAACTTCAGTGAAAAAAAGGAGACCTAAGGATTTTGGGTTTTTTTGAGATTAAGTGACACAAATAAAAGAGAATCAACCCTTGGCTGCTAAATCACAACGAAACCTCAGAATGCTAGTATGGTAAAACCCACAGATATTATATCTGTGAATATGCAGATGGAGATTTCTAAAGCTCCAAATAAGTGATAGTTACTAGAGGAGAAAAGCACTTGCTTTCCAAACTTCATTAATTTGATTGTAAGGAATCTGTGCATTGCTTTTATGAGAATAGTATTTCAAAGAACATTCAATTTCTTATATACAGTTACCTTACTTATATAACATTTGTATAGTGCTTTGACAACGTGAAGCATTATCTTAACGTTAAGAAATAGTAGCACTATTACTCAAATAGACCCTTAAAGTGAGATCCATTTACTCCTTTAGTTTTACTTACTTCTTTAACATGAAGAAAATCTTTAGCCTCAAATGAGATGGCCATGCCTGGGACTGGAACATCGTCATCGTGAGCTGCACTGTACCCAACATTTGTCCGAACTGCAAATGCAACAGGTTTTGTCTGCAAAACAAAAGATAAACAGCATGAAGATTTCCCTTGCAAACACGTGCATATGTACAAACACACACACAGAGGATGATTTCTGCAAATTATCTTTTTTAAATCGTAACAATTACAAAGAACACTCAAAACATCCATGTAAAACATTTTGAAGCGTCACGTTTACTTACCTCAGTTATTTAATATCATCACATTTGACAGAATACAAGACTCTTATCTATCTAATTTGGGATAATTCAAATCAGTAACCATAAAACAGTTGGCAATCCATATACTATGCTTAGTTATGATGGCATTGCACAGCAGATCTTCGTTTGGCTAAGATTTATTAGAGATTTCTAACCACAGTTCTGTACTGAGGTGGTCACGCCTCACACTTGTGTTGCAGTATTTTTAAGGGGTGTGCTTGAATTTGCATGGAGTGTTTTATCCTGCTTTCACGGCGATTACTGGGCCCCTGTCAAATTCAGAAAGGAATGAGAACAAAGGAATCAGATTTCAGGTTACTAGTACCTGAAGTTTAAATTGCAATGGTTTACTGTGCTTTGCTAATAAACAAAGAGATATAATATAAATTTGTATAATAATGAGAATTTAAGTATACCATTTCAAAGTAAAAGTCATGAAATTCAAACATGTTATAATGGCCAAACCTATTGTAATTTGGCTCCAATAGCAGTAAAATTGGTAGTAAAAGCTGCCATCCAGCTCAGCCTAGCCTAGAGCTATAGAGGGCTTCCTTTTCTCAGGGTTACAACCAGAATACAGAAGAACAACCTTTATTCTGGTTTATTCTACACCAACAAGACCTTGAGCTTGCTCTCCTGACAGAAGATATCACACAGTATCCCTGGGACCCACCATTGTCCTACCCCAGGCTAAACTTTTAGCCCACCCCAAAATCCTCCACACCACTCTTATGATCTAGTCTGAAGTCCCTATACATTATGGCTGGTAAAATATTTTTGAAGACATGAACTGAGTCTCAGAGGTGCTCATGAGTGATTGAGGAAGGCGTGACATAATTTTTCATCTTAAAATATACTAAAACTTCTACCAGACAACAATTTTAGCTTTATTAGTTGGTATCCATCATCACTTCGGCTTGGCTAAAAAGATGGTATTTTGCTGAGATGACAAGCAAAAAATATATCTCGTCTCCTATGTAAGGAATTGCTTCCATTTATGCTCGAAAAAGAGGATATGAACACGCATCCTCTACTTCATGACAGCAAACACAAATACTTGAAACCAAAAATCATGCTATATTTTTCTGATTACCAAAAATCCCTGCCTGCTCCATCCAGGATTACTCTGACAACTTGCATAGTGCTAGAGGACAGAAATCTGCCACATTAAAATACATGATAAAATAATGAGGGAGATATATAAATAATTCTAAAGACAATATCATGCCACCTGGCCTGGAAAGGACAGTTGGAAATAAAGGGAGAGAAGGTTCCCTGTTGCTTAAGTTAGGTCTAAAGTGCTGTAAAAGCCACAGGGTTCCAATAAAGCAGATTTTAAAACTCCTTAAATAGGCCTGTATTTGAATGAACTACCGCAGACAAACAATTTACATCTAAGTGCACATTCTGGGAAGGCTTTTTAATTTACAAAGAGAAACAATAAGCTCTTTCATAACAGTGGGGTCAAGAGAGTCTCTGTGTCCAGAAGTGAAACAGGCGGTTTCAGCAGAAATAAATTTTGGAAGGGGATTACAGAATGGGCTTCATGTTTATGTGGTATTCTGGATCTAAATATGGATTTGTAAAAAGAGATGATCAGGAGATTATTGGAAAAGGACTTTACTCTATCCTTTCTGTTCTTTCTGCTGGAATTAGTGGAAAAATCTTAAGAATGTTAAGGTAGGTTAGGTAGAAGGGCTCTAAAGACTGAAACTGGTACCATTTAAACAGGCACTTATTTAAACTGGAAAGCCTATGGAAGACTAAAAAATTAAATACAGCTGAATATATTTACTGGTTGAAATAACACATCCCGAGAGTTCAATGTCTTTCTTGGTGTTTAGCCACAATTAGAATATTGCAAATAGTTGATTGCTTTTCTTTGCAGATCACCTGTTCTAGGAAAAAAAACAAACATTAACAAATTAGAGTACCATGTGAAACGCAATAGTACAATAAATAGTAATTTTTAAAGTGTCTGTTTTCTTTTGACAAGGAAAATCCTATTGCTGTTGGAACGTGCTGGAGATGTTACTCAAAAGATATAAGTTATATAAACAACTTGATTATATTTGCACTGTGCAACAGAAAAAAGTTCAAATCAGAAATAATATTTAAAAAATACACAGACACAACTGATAAGTGGATCAAATTCATCCATTAACAGGAAAAATATGTAGAAAAATATGTATAACAAGAGGGAATTGGTTTAGATGAGTTTACTAGATGTTCTTATTAGCTACCATCCTATGTTAGAAAATGATAGCCACAATTTTTTTATATATGTAAAAAACACAATCAAAAAACAATAGCTGACTTAACTCATTGTGTTGGGCATCTTTCTCATACCCTGAACTCTTCCAATGTGCTGCAAAAGGAGTTTTGGCACCTAACACAAATTTCTGGACTCCGGTATGACAGAAAGGTATGTAAATGCTAGGCACACACGCCCCTTAAACAGCCATTAATAAGTTCACCTTGCCATTATACAGATGAAATGTTAGAAGGGCATCGAGATATGATTACGCATTCATGATTACATTTCTGAAAATGGGCATTTATGAGAATGATCATCCAAAAAATAAAATTTGGCAATTCCTCCACATCAATTTAAAAACCTTGCAGTGTTGATGCAACACAGGTATGTCCACTTCCTAGCAGCTCAAATTCATATCTTATTCAACTCCTCTACAATTCTCTCAGTTGTTACTAGCACTCAGTTACACTACATAAAAGATAGCTAACTATTACAGAACCAGGCATGTCACAAAGAAAAAAAAGTAGTCACACAGGCACTGAATTCAGTGATATCATATATCTTCCTTAAAAATAAAAGAGAACATAAATTACTGGGGTTTAATATTCATACAAACCCCCACAACTTTCCTGAATTTAAAAAGCACAAACTAACAGAGTTGATGCTTGCTATGCTATTACTCATTTCAATACTGAAAATACAGATATGAACAAGCATTAAATTGTCAAATCTCCTAAATAATACTTCATCATTAAATAGTACAGCATGGAATAAATAATTCATTGCTGTTAAGAATGATCTTTTTTTAAAGCATAGTAAACTGTCATTGTAGGAATGTATCTCAGAACAAGAATGGAAATATTAAGGAACAATCTTTACCAAACACTGATAGGGGGATAATATACTTGCTTATCCCTTCTCACATTTGCTATATCCTTTAGCGAATCTAAAAAACACTCAACAGAGTATTGTGACTTACTCTTAATAGTATCAGTGGATGAAAGACTTTAGGCCGACTAAAGACTTTAAAATCTCTGCTGCATTGCAACCAACAGACATCTTCAGCAAGTTAATGTCCTTGACATACTTCTTAGAAGTGATCTAAAATTTCCTATTAGAGGGCAACACCTGACTACCCAAGAAAAAGAGAAAAATGGAAACTACTCCAGAACTATCTCAACATGAAAGATAAAAAATCCTCTGTCATTTTCTGCTATCAAGAAATTAATATAAAAACTCTGAATAGAAAAACAAAGCAGAACATTGAGCTACAGATATTCACAGAAACAGTATGTCCCATTTTCGATACCTGCCATACTACTAGAAAGGGAGACTGAATTACCATGGGATTAGACTACAATAATTCATCTAATTGAATATTTAAAACTAATTAATTTATAGAAGTTAAATGCTAGCCTTTTTACATAAATAAATAATTCTGAAAGTTTCATAGAACTGTCAAATTAACTACTTTTTCTTTTCTTGAACTACATCGTCTTTAACTAAAGAAGTCCAGTTGTTATGTAATTAGGGCCTTATGTCAAAAAAACCCTTTTTTTTAAAATACGCATATGTATATTTTAAAAAGATATCTAGCATTTGCTTACATATTCTACAGTTCTAAAATTAGACTGAGTCAAAACCGTTAAGCATTTTCTGTTCATCCGCTAAATCTCCATGAAAATGTGATGGCAGTTTAGCACTCAGTTAATCCACAGGCTGGACTACAGGGACAGATTCTCCCAGGTGTTAAACAGTTTAATGTTTCATCTCCCTCAAGAGAAACAACGTAGCTTGAAAAAGTTATCTTCAGAATGAATATTTCCACCTTGTTTTCCTTTTTTCCGCCTGTAAAAATACAACATTCGACAGACCGAATAACCCCACAAGGAGAACAATAACCAGACCGTGAACATTACCATCATCTGTACCACTAGGGCAGCAGGGAACACACTCTGGAGTGGTGTTCTTCATGAACCAATTTCAGCTTCTGATTTAAACTGAGAATATAAATCATTGAAAACATATTCACCAACTGTTAAACGAACTTTGGCTGTAGGCTTTTGGTAACAAACATAAATTAAAGTGGGACTAGGGACACCTTACTTAATTTTCTCTTTTTGCATCTGGATCTCACTCCTTCCTTTTGGTTCACAAGTTATATTCACTTTATACATCTTCATGACAACCCTCATTACTAAGTCAATACTATTTACAGTACTATTATACCCTGCTACTTATATTCCCTCACTCTTGTTTTATGACTAACTTGTATTCAATGTGTACACAAGCATTTGCACATTGTATCTGTCTCAGTCAATTTGTCAGTTTAAATGAGTTTGCACCTGCTTGGCTGAATTTGTATTCGAGAAATATTTCACCTAATAACAGAGCAAAATAATACAATCTGTTTTCTAGTAATGTACTTAAAACATGACAGGACCCTTTTTTCCTATAACTCATTTCAGATATGTTATGCTGTGCCATAAACCCAGTGGATGCAGCCTCTGGGGATCCCAGCCAAGGAGGCAAACTTTCTGAGACAGAATTTGCTC